CATACAAGTGCAGTGTTCCTGATTGTCTGCTTGTCTGTGGTGAAAAGTGGTTCCTCGCTGCAATGACAAGCCAAATACTCATTGGCCGTCAGCAAACGATCCAGTGCCACACACACACTTCGAAGGGACCGCCTTACAACCAGTTGATTGTGGTATGTGGGTAACGTTGTCTACCACGAGTTTCTTAACAAACGCCAAGCACTTATGGTTGATATCTAATCTGTGCATAAGGGATGCGCTACCTCAGAAATGATCAGGAAAGTTACTCTTTCAGGATACCGCAGACTAGCATGGGAAAGAACCCTGCACTAGTAGTTTTCGCGCTCTTGTAGGCAGGAAGTTCCACGAAATACAGTGTCCAAACATTTGGACCTGGACTGGAGACGGTCGCAGATTATAAGATTGTTTACTTTAATAAGATTTCTGAGAATTTTCACTTTTATTAAATTACTTAATGTGGGAAATTGGTTGTGCATGAGATTATGGACTCTCGGCATTATAGATGGCCCTGTCCTCAACTGCAGGGAGCTAGACTTAGGGTTATGATTATGGTTGGGCTTATGAGGGTTAGAGTTAGGGCTAGGATGGCGAGGAGTAAAGTTTAAGTTTGAACACGGGAATGGGAATCCTGTCGAATTTAGCGCGAGGTCGCCTGAAGTACTGGGGGAGGTCCGTATTTCCCGTGTCTGAACATAATATTTCATAAGCTTTTTTTGGTTCCTTGAGGTCTCGAAACTCCTATTCTGCGGCAAATTGGACACATGTAACCCATTGCTTCGAGATCTGAAGGTGTCCAATAACACTAAATCGATGTCAGAGACTTATTGAAAAGTTATAATATACATTTCCCTCATTGTAATGCTTCTTTTCAACGCAAAAATTTCAGGCAACAAGTGTGACCCACTTTGTCTGACTTGAAGCCAGATTTTCTAAGGTAGAATATAGTGTCCAAAAAACAGAAAAGCTGCGAGCGCAAATCTCATTCAGCTCACGAACCGTAAAATAAAATATTTTTCGTGCAGAAGTAACGAATAAAGAGTACCACTGCAAACTCTAGAGCGTTTTGGTGGCAGAATGCGGTTTAGTATATTTGTCCCGTGTAAGAGCTGCATGATCAACTCTTGGCAAATGACCCTGTTCGTTCCCGATGGATGCCTATGGTGACTTTGTGTACGTTCAATGATGGGCTCTTTGTCTGAGAAAGCATGTACACCTTTTTGCTTAATATACCAATATTTCGCGTTACCACTGAAAAGCCACGTGGGAAGAGCCTTTGTTTATCTAGTTCGGGTGCAGCACGAAGAACGGGATTGCATCTAAGGTATTCTCGACCTTCAATCGAAGTCTAACTGGATGACGACAGCAAATAAGCCGGTTCAGTCTCCCTTGTCTTTGGCGATAGTACTGCACCACTGGTAGTGATCATTCCAATGCGACCGCCTGCGAGATCGGTAGATCACCGGCTCTGCGCAAAACAGAACGTTTCTGCTCAGTTCTCTAGATAGATGATGACCGCGAACACGTGGATAAGGGGCATATGTGAGGGAACAAAGTGACAGCACACCAATTCGTTCGACTCAAATGTGAAAAACTTGACAGCCTCAGTGGGATTAGAACCCATGACAGCAGGGGCAGGGCTCGAGTACAACCAATGCAAGGATGATGGGTAAATTTATCCCAATGTGATTAAACTCATGGCTCCCAGTGAAGCCTCGTGGCTTCGGTGGTTAGAGCGTTGACTGTACTCAAGCCTCGTCCTTACTGTTGCGGGTTCGAATCACACCGAGGCAGCTGTGTTTTACAATTGAGTTAAACTGGATAAATCAAACCTACTAAAAAAACCGTCAATACACGGACTGACATTTATATTTGATAAGTTGAATATTATAGATGTAATTGTTGCCCAAAGTGTACGTCTACTAAGACGATCAATGGGATTACAACTGAGGGTCCAACCAATAAAAGACTGTAGACCAGTGGCTCGCGCGTAACGACTGCAGACTGCTATTACTCCTAACTTACTGCAGCTCATGGTGGTAAAAAAAATCGGCTAGCAGAAAGCTGGCTGTCAGTACGCCTGAACGACCACTATGCTTCAGGAACGCTAGGCTGATTCGGCATTACTAATAGGGACTTCGGAAATGCTATTCTCACACGTCATCTGCTACTTTGTTCTCCTGAATGACGCCACATGACCAGTAATAAATGAACGTCACTTTCTCGCCGCTAACACCCGAATTCTACCTTTCCCAAAACTTTATCACTATTTCGTCTCAATGTATTCAGGAGTGTAATAAGACTTCCACTGATTCAGTTACCTAACAGCACAACTCAGAAACTTTGTCTGCAAACGGATTAAACTATTTTGAAGCCAGTACATAGATATGAAGAAACATAGTACTAAAGGCACAGTTCTGTCGTGATGTTTCTTTAAAAAAGTACGTAGAACTAGCAACCAAGTTGTTCGAAACGGCTATCCGAAGTTATTTGCCAGCTGATGCCTACGTGTTCGCTCCCAAAAGACCCCAGAAAGAGCAGCACCGAAAATGAAATGCCTTACCATACATTAACGACGTTTCAGAAGCGTTGCCGGGGAATTAGGTGCTGGGATTGCTCAACGGCCCAAAGCCACCACGGGTAGCAGAGTCGTAAATAATAAACATCGATTAAACCCAAGGGAGCAGCCTGGCGCAGTGTATCGCATCCATGCCTAAACCGTCTTTCCAACTACACAGGTCAGACTGGACGCATGCTCGCATCGTGCGCACGCGAGCAGAAGCAAGCTGTGAGACCGGGTTAGGAATTACCACAACTGGTCCTTCACACTTTCGGAATGGGTTACGGATCAAACTTCGCAGCCGCCAAGACAATCATCCGTTCCCGCAGCACGACAAGTCGGCAGATGACTTAAACCCGAACCTCGGATAAGAACTCTGCCAAACGATATGTTCACCTGGCGCCTGCATGCTGAGCCCTGCGCAGTCACCCCAGATCGATGGCATTGGTCGTTGGGCTGGCTAGTGACTCCTATAACTATCACTTGCTCCGTTGTCACTGTCATCTCTCATGAACCCTTGTACGAGTTCGAAAGCTCAGAAAAATAAATGGCTGCGGTGCTCGATCAGAAACCATCTCTAGAATGGGAGCGAATATATGGGTTCCTGGTTCTTGTTACAAAGGAGATGAGCGCGCGACCAATGGACAGTACATGCATTAGCCCGAGCATTCAGTCTACTACAGAAGGCCGTCATCGGACTGAGAATGCAACATTGAATGAACAATCTTTGTAGTCAAGAGGATGGGTAGAAGTGAAGGAGCAATGTTCACGATAAGCCTGAGTCAACGCCGTCGTGACCGACTGCGTCAAAGGACGAGGACTTGGCCGCGTCCCCCGGTCGCGTGAACATGGCGCGCGGCTGCAGGGAACTAATGTCGGGCACCCAGGCCTCCAGCAATTCACGCGGTCTTATTGCTGGCTCGCGAAGTTGGATTTGTGGCCTTCCTCCAGGGTGAGTTGCGATCTGAGCCTGAGGGTCACCTGTCCGTTTGTAGTCTATTATTAGTGAGCTAAGTCGTCGTACAGTCTGCCCTGTATAATGGCAACAACAATCACCTTCCGGCCTATTCGTAGTTTCCTTTTCATGGCTACCGATCTCGAGGTATAAAATTGTCCTCAAGGTGGTGGAGTTCAGAATCCGACATATTGTTTTTTTGACTTGTCTTAACGGCGGTTCGGTCATCGGATTTACTAATAACCCAGCACACAGGACCATCCTGAACCTGGAAGTTGGCTGTACACCACGCACGACTTCGAGTTGAACTACGTCAGAAGCGCCGGTGGACGACCGCGAACACGCAAGGACAGTGGATAGGACCGACCTGTTGTCCTTGTTAGCGGAAACCCATGCACCGCCCTCAGGCATTAAGTGAGCAACCGAAGTCCGCACTTTCGGTCTGAGCCGACGCATGACCCCTACCCATCTACCGTCGCCTTACCGAGTACGCATAACTACACCGCTGAATTTCTGAATCTGCGAATCTATCCAGTGCTTTCAAATGGCTTTATCAGTGTCTTCCGACTGCATAATTTTAGGTTGATACAAAGATACAGTCATTGGTGGCGACAATTCGACCGTCGTGACCGACGATGTCTACGGTGTGCTCTACAGCAGGAACGGTGACTTGCACGTGAATCAGTTTATAGCGATAGTGGATTTGCGCTCAGTCTGCTACACTCTCCTCCTCCTCCACCCCCATTTTTGGCATTTGTTGCGGGCGCGAATTTCTAATAACGCCTGTCGAAACCCCTTACCTGGCCCCAGTGTTAATCCAGCGCATCTACTGCGTGGCCCATTTCAGGGGCATGCCGTTGGTAGTACGCCCTACGTCACCCAGGTAAACTCCAGACGGCGGTCTTGGTCAGTCGCTCACTGACGGTGTCGACACCAAAAAGAAGAAGAAAAGACAACGACTGTGTGCAAGAGGAACTAAATTTGGGCGGTCGGAAAAAAATCACGGCTGCGCGCACATACGCAGGCTTTAAGGCTTGGTTGGACCGATGATGAAAGCGTCGATGAAAGGGAAAAGCAGTACAGATAAATTTTGCGATACGCACACACACACACGCGAGCATAGGAAAGGATCAAACTGTTATAATACCTAGTCAACAGTCAGGGGAGGGGGGAGGAAATTAGTGCACAGCAGTGCTCTCGCCAGACAGGGAGGCGGGCTGGGGAGGGAGAACAGAGATCCCTGCAGGAGATTATACTTGTCCCCCAACATCACTAGCAAGCTGGCTCTCGCACGCAACGCGGGGGCCAAGAGAAAGTCATTCGGCATTGCAAGCGAGCAGAAGTAGATGTGCTATTAATAGGAATATCCTTAGGAGTAATTGTACCCGAATAAACACAACTAAGCGCATACACTGATAGACCCCGTCAAGTATGTGGCGGATTTCATTAATGTTTCTCCTTATAAACTAATCAGAAAAAAAAGGAAAGCTACAGATAGCAGGCTGCCTTAGCCGGACACACAGAGACAGAGGCGGGCGATTGTGTTTGGGCCGATAATGAGCACGAGAGGCGTGAAAAGCGGCCAAACATTTGGACGGACAATTCAGAAGAGCGCAGGCGAAATAAAGGAGCAACAGTTGCCGTTGGGGGCTGCAGGGGACAGCATTCAACGCAGTCATGGTTGCTGATCCCGGGGCTGAAGTGACAGGTAACGACAGGAGATGGTCCATTTCCAAGCAAACACAATGAAGAAGCAATACAACGATCCCGGCAAAGGGTGGTAGCCGATCGGTGTGCATGTCGACGCGAGACCTGAGCAACCACGCAAGCTGTTCGCTGAATGGAAAGAAATAGGGAGCCCGTCACCGGCTGGCATGCAGCTCCAATGCCCTGAAGAGAAGCAATAAAAAGGAAAGTTGGGTTAAAATGGGCCATCACTCGCACTACAATAACGGCATTAGCGGCAGGAGTAGCAACTGCGTCGTAATAGCAACGGCGGGGACAGCGATAGCAGTAGTAGTGGTAACCGCTGCAATCGTCATCAGCTCAAATCCTGGTTACTTTTACCCTCACACACAGACTATCAGCCAGCAAAACAGTCACAGGTTCCAACCACAGAAACCGCGCTAACAAAACTGACAAATAACTTCAACAAGTCGCAGCAACCCAGAGTGGCAACAGGAAACCACATATAACCGTAGCCACTTTAAAACGCAGGGCCAAACTCAACGCTTCACAGGCTGACTCATCATGTACGCGTTCAGGGTAATGCCCCCAAAGTGTCCTTGTACCGGTGCTTCTGCCCACTTCTCCCGTGGGCGTCCTGAACAACTGTGGCACAGAACTGTTGTTTTGGAAGGCGCCTGAGTGACATTCACGATGTGGACACCCAATCATATTAAGTTTGCCCTAACAGTGCAAATATGTTGCGTTTGCGAGACGACTTCATGAATAGGGTGTACGTGATGCATCCACAGCATCTCAATTTGATGCTCCGGTGGCAGTTCAAACGGCAATGGCATAGTCCCCTCTCAGTCCACGTTTTTGTCCCCTAAGGTAACGCGTAGCTTGCATCAGCATGGGCGTTGAAGGTGTCGCTGTGGTCCCAAGCTGAAATAAGTGGCCTAGTTAAGGGCCAACCTAGTTTCGAATACTCAATATGATATCTCCTCAATGATTACGATTTTTCTAGGAATTTTACTGCTCAAGTTAGAGAAGTTGTCCACAGCAGCGAAACGGTGACTGTTGGCAGTGAATTCCACAGCCTGTACCAGTTGATGTATGCCGAGTGTTTTGTTGGTTTTTAGGGTCAGTTCACAGCTCGCGCATCCAGAAACGACATGGTTCCTGTTCCATCGTGTATTTGCGTCTGTGGCGTCGTTAAGTGCGCGCAATAATCGTAGAAAGTCTTGTACTTTTGTCCTTGGAGACCCTTGCACAGATGTTCATTCTCCAAAGGTCAAGGGGCATCGCGTGGGATAGTCGTGGTCGTGGATTGAGATTGGCTTGCTAGCGGAGTGTGGTTCAAACCTCGAGGACGAGGTCTTAGAGAGGGAGCCACGCTAGCCTAGAAACGCCTCGATCTACGATTTTCAGAAACTGATCGGCCAACGACATGATATCACAGCCCCCAAACGTATTTTTGCTACGCTCCATTCTGATGCCAGTGTCCTTAGTTTCTTCATAGGGAACAAAGTAGTCTCGCGACACGCTGCAACAGTCAGAGTCGAGATTACCAAGATATGACTCATTCGTTTTATTCTCATGAAATGACAGCAGAGTCGCTCACTTTAAACCTGTGTGCTTTTTATCATATCTCCTGCCAAATGTCGGCGGATCGACAACCTGTAGCTCCCCTGTTCGTGCGATTTCTGACGTGTCAGGAGACCAATTAACTTTTCTTTGTTCGCTTAGCCCTGGGTCATAAAAAAATTTTTCGTTGGAGTTTTTGACCATTTCGCAGTGAAAGCGCGTGCGATCGTCAGTCTGTTGCCCGTAGTAGCGCGTCTGCTTGCAAGGGGCAAGGGGCGTAATTAGATAGTACCAACTATTGAGAGGAACTAGGTAAGAGGTGCTACCGCAGCAGACGTATCACAGCAGAGGTCTAGAGGTGTCGAAGGAAAATGAAAAGCCCTGCAACACCGCCTACGCAAATAACCAAACTGGAAGAGAAATTAGCATTCAGCCAGCTAGTGTTGTGCTCTTTCAGCTGGCGATTGGAGCGTGCGCACTAGGCGCCAGTTAAGACAGCCTGGTGGCGCACTCATTGGGAATGCAGCAGCAGTGCGTTGACATCGCCTGGGTAAGACTTCAACGCACGGTCAGGCGATTACTACATCAGACCCAGTCTGCACTGTATGGCTGTGCCTTCCATTAAAACAAGAAGGGCGCCAACCCAAAAGGGGACATGACAGAAGAACTGCTTGACCAGATGTGTCCGACCAGGGGGAAACCGAGATGTCGTGGACTTCGTGTAAATGGTCGCTGTGTCAGCGTACGGAGACGCAAAGTCAATGGGTTTGCACACCCCTAAAGGATGGTTAGAATAAGTTGGAGGATACGATCAGTAATAGCTCTGCCAATAATTCGTTGACTGCTATTATATGCTTTTCAGGGATACAGTAAAAGGGCGTATTTCATGAAATGTTAGCCGAAATTCTGAAATGTCCTTTTCGACTAGAGAGGATTACTTAGATGGAGTCGCGATACCGATAATCGTGCAGCAAAAATCCAAGATAATTCAGTCACATAAGGATGCCGACTGAGAAAATTCAGACTCGCTAATAATGCCTATCACTGATTTACAATGCCCTCATCAATCCAAATATACTATAAAGAGGCCATGCACGAAAATAGTACTTCATGTACTCATTTTCTTACAAATTACGTCCTCTTCAAATCTTATACGCGGACAAAAGGTATACGTAGGTTTTAAAAGTCGATAAGTTCCCAAACATTTTGAGTCAGATCTGCCGTTGCATTTATGTCTTGAGTTTTCAGTCTACTTTCCATGTAAGGAGAATCAATCATTCCGCTATGCTAGCAGGATTCACCGAATTTCGCCCTGAATATGGACCATCTTGTATGCTTCGTGAAGAGCACTAACAGACGGACAAATACAATACTATTCAAGTGGACCTCTAATTGTCTTAAAAATCTCATAATTACAAGCTTTTTAAACGGGAAGTTACTCCTCCTTTGAGTATCAAATTTGAAGGCGTGATTTGTCACCAGAGAGCATGCTATTGACTACGCCTTTTAAAAAATATGTTTAACTGTGCAAGGTCTTTGAAAATCAGTCGAAGAACAAATCCTAATTAAGTAGTCATTTTTGCTGAGTTCGGTTTTGGGGGGCAGCCGAAAAGAAGTGCATTCGACAGTCGACATTCTGATGTAATTGAAATATCTTAGAATTATGCTGCACGATAATATTGAAACTCCATTTAAGTAACTCTGTCTAATTAAAAACGTACTTCAGAACTTTCGCTAACATTTTATGAGACTGGTCATTGAAGACTGAACGCAAATGCAACGGCAGAATGGTTTAGAAATTCTTCGAGAATTGAGAACCTCTCAGACTGGGAGATACTGTTTCTTTGGATAGAGCACCTAAGGACGTAATCGTCTACGCAACAAAACCAGAAAAGATGCTTCTACGCATGGATTTTGTAAACATGTCTAGATCTGTAAAAGACTCCGAATTTGATGGAAGAAGTCACACTGCCCCAGTTGTTTTTACTAAGAGCTATTTTCGCCGTAGGTCGGAAACACGCCTATTTAACAGCCGACATGCTGGTGTGACTGAAATATCTTGGAATTAGGCTGCATAACGATCAGTATTGCGGCGTTGACTAAGTAATCCCTTCTAATCGAAAACGCATTTCAGAATTTCAACTAACTTATTCATGAGATACGCTATTTACTTACTGTACGTGCGAACTGACACAGGCCCAACTGGGTTGACTTTATTTAGCTCCCTAGGCCGTTGCTCCGGGCTGTTTACCGAGTGGCCAAATCTTCAATTAGGATCTACCTATGCAAAAACACCAGCAGGGAAGACGGACCAGTTGGATAAATCCTACATTGACGCAAGTACCGGTCTGCGCAGCCAAGAGCCCATAGCAATACACGAGCCACCATCATACCCCAATGACTATTGATCCACGTAAGCAGTCACGGTGGCAACCTATAAAACGAAGAGAACGGTGGACAGACAATAGACGCCCTATGAGACCGCAACAAATATTGGGAACTTTAGTCATTGAAGATGGACGGCATACTAGACATCGAATGGGAAATAAGCCCATTCAATGAGTTCTTGTGAATTCTGTGGAAAGTGTTCGTTCTAATTCACCTCAGCGCCTCCACAACACTGGCTTCTGTTGACCATTATGAGTCGGCTAGGGAAGGCGGTACTAGACATAATGGTTGTTCCTTGAATCTTGCAGAACACATTTCCAGGCCAACAAATGACATAGCTGCGAGCCACTTGCCTAGATAGATGAGTGCATGACGGTCGTTATCAGCGCATCCACGATGGTGGCCTTGACCAATGCTTCCAACCACTGATTTGAAACTGGCTAATGCGTACGCTGAACAGCAGGTTGACGCCTTGTCCAACCTGCCGAGCGCATTTGTTGAGGGCTCGTGTTTTCCCGTCAAAATACCTTATTTGAGACAAAGATGGCACCAAGCAATGCGCTACGTGGGCTGTGTGGAATATTTCAAAAATTGGCAGCGTCTCTGCGGCCTCTATTTCATCGCTCACAAAGAAAGACCTCTAGGCAACACATGTCCCGTCGGGAGGGAGCTTCGGCAGGACACCCTGCCGCGAAGTACTAGCTTTTTGAAAAACAACAGGAGTCAGTGTTTCGTGTCATGCTTGTGAAAGCCTATCAGTGAAACAAGCCTCAGATCGATTCTTCCGGACTGCTTGGGACAACGATCGAATGGAGGCATGCGTTGGTGAGCAGCACAGAGCCAATAGCGGGATGCTTCCAACCTTTAATTGAGGCTGCACTCGGAACAAGAGATAAGTAGTGGCGGGGGTGTAAAATAAACCAATGGAGTTAAAAAGAACAATAGCAGGGTAGCCGAGCCCAGGATTGTGTGCTGCGACGTGGTTCAAAAAATGACAAAATGATAAGGGCGGGCTTGAGGTATAACTTACAGAGGCCTATACACGATACCCGTTGACACGTTCAGCAAGGTATTCCCCGGCATGCAGTTGCAATTTTTCGCTGCGGTAACGCGTGAGCTGTACAGAGGCACGGACCGTTTCAGTTATTTCGTTCTTGTAGCCTCCCTTCCTCAGAAGAGAATCAATGGTTTCCTGGTGATTCCAGCCTTCGAAAGAAATGCAAGAAAAGGCATTCCTAAATATAGCGGGAGAGAGAGTAAGATAAGTTTAGGCTCTAAGGCAGCCACTTGAGGCAACGTCGAAAAGCACTGGACATGGTTCAATACGGAGGGCAGCAGAGCGGATAATCTCTGCACGCACCCTTTTAGAAAAAAAACTATTACATTTGAACTTACTGACTTACGTTTCCGGTACTGATATTTTTAAGTGTCCGCAAACAAATTGAACTGCACAGGCACAACTGTGTACGACACTAACATGGGTTGTTGGTGAGGCGTACTCGGATCGCCAACTGTAAGGGAAATGGCAACAAATGAAGGCTGTTATCTTCACTACCTTCGCCGAGCTAAGGGTCATCGACAGGGAGCCGAAACGGCCGCGAAAGATAATGCAGCAGACCAAACGCACGCAGTGCCACGTTGCAGACAACGCATCAGTCTCGGCAGTCACCACTATATCCAGGGTGTGAAGATGAGGTTGCGTTATCAACTCCACCCAGAGGAATGTCCTAGAAGTGGCTTCATGCACCTGAACGACGCGAAGCCCTCTGACCTTCGGAGAATGAACATCTATGTAAGGGTCTCCAGGGGGAAAAAAATACGAGATTTTCTATTTGCCGACTATTGCGCGCCGCGCACCACAGACGCAAATACGCGATGGAGCATGAACCACGTCGTTTCTGGATGCGCGAGCTGTGGACTGCCTCTTAACACTAAAAAGTTGCGTGACCGTGGTTTCAAATTAATAATCGCTTTATGGGTTATCGGAACGCTGTGCGGTGCCTTTCCAATCTTCACCAATTATTGGTTTTCGTTAGAAAATCGTGTGATTTCAGTCGCCGGATCACACAGGCGACTGACGGTTGCCAGAGTTGGCTGTCGTAAAGTTAAGCCAATGCTTACCTGATCGTATATGCATTCGCAGACCAACCAATAAAAGTATGAAATTCCAGCTGTTCGTCTTCTTCTGTCTGTGCAATGTTGCAGGCCGTTTAACTTAGTCAGTCCTACGAATCAAACTACAAGAAGCGTTTTGCTGTTACCAGTCACGGAAAAGGTGTGAGTTAAAACAAGTTAAAGCAACTCCGAGTAGTTCAATTTAACATATTAAGAGAAAATTAGTAATCTGGAGATAATATCGAAGTCCTGAGAGAAAAGTTCAGTAGCTGGTTTTCACTTCAGCTATGACTGCATTATTTAGGACTTTAAGATGAAACAATAAGCTGATGAAGAAAAATTAGCCCTCCCACCAGCTATCACAGCTGGCTAGGAAAAGCACTCGACTAGTAGATAGCATAACTAAACCTCATTCTCCGCCAGTCCGTATAAAACGAAATTTCGGCTCCATACCCAAATACCCACTCCTTACCCCAAGCCACGACGACTGCCATGCCAGACGATCCCCACGGGGCGAAACGTTGAAATCAGACATGCAAAATCATCAAAAACATCAAAAATCGACCTCCGACATGTTACAGAATGAACTGTCTCCTTCCGGACCATTGGAAAGTGGACAACGCTGACTTCGGAGACTTGTCTGAGTCCAGTTTCGTACGGAGGTCGGACAAATTTTCAGTAGTCTTCTTAGTGGCCGATCACTCAAAGGTGCTTCAAAGTTCACCGTAAGCGGACGTTTCGGGCATTCGCCGTCGGCTGGGAGACAAGGTTACGCATTCATGAATCTGAGTGGGCTTCCAGGAAGTTCATTCTTGCATATAAACTTAATCTCGGCAACTCTAGGCGATTGCGCTGATTATCGTTCAGTTTTTTTTTTCACGGCAGCATTTTTATGTACTTAGCTTCAGACGATGATAACTAAAGGAAGTTGGTGACGTGTGAGTTATATGTTGAAAACTGAATCCTGGGATATGCATCAGGGCAGTAGTAAAGTTGCTTAGTGGGGGGGGGGGGGTTACAGGCAACATTTGTCAAGAGGGCAGCTGCTCAGAATGGGAGATTTTTACAAAGGCTCATCATCTCGGGCGTGAAATAAACATCTCCCAAACGTCACACTATGCGAGAAAACGAGTAGTATTTGCTCCCCTAGGGCTGAACCGAGTATGATTTTATCAACTGGAACAAGACAGTTTTGGGCACGCTATGTAGACATGTTGGTGTGCTGCAGATGTGAATTTATCCGCACCCAAAAATCCCTGTTTAATTTTCCATGATAAATCATGAAGAGAATTCTTTTCCAAAGGCAAGGATTCACGAGGTGAATATGGCATCATTCTGACCGATAAAAACAAAGGCACGCGCTCTAATGATAAAAATCGAAGAGGAGCTGTAAACGGCCGACAAACTCCATCACAACAAAGACTGAATCAAATAAACACAGTGGAAAGAGCACCGGTAGAAATAACCTGAAAACGAAAGAAATAATTGAGAGAATCCGGATTTTGTTCATGATGAAAGACAGTAAAAATTCGCAAGCAACCTTGTTCAGCAGCAACTTCCGGAAGATAGGTAGCCGAGCGCTGCATGCCTCGCTCGTTAGTAAATTCGATTCGGATTCCATGAACCCCGATCTAAAACGACCAAAAGGTAAAGTGCTATAGCAGCTCTTGCTTTACCACAAGACAAAATAGCATCGCTGGGTATTGAGGGTGTTAGTTAAATGACTAAAGTGCTATCTAAAAAGGGATAAAAGTGACTCCAAACCGTCAAATGCGCAGATCCCCTTCGGACTAGCTTAATTTTACACGAACAGCAGAAGCGGCTTGGCAGGACCGTAGTATCTATAAATATGATGAAGAATCGGAACGACACGAGGTCTTCGGGAATCTGCGATGTGACTGACAGGCTTTAGCATCGTAGGTCTTGCTTTACTTCATGAGGAATGGTTATTAAGCTACCAGCAATGTCCTTGTTTTATTAGAAACGTCATTCACTGCTAAATTTACATTACCTGACGGTTCGGCCGTCACGAAGGACGATGCCCTTTGTGTTCGCAGCATAAAAGGTGCAGGACGGTAGCTTGCGCGTGACTTAGTGCATAATGGTGGCAGACTTGCGCAGCATCTACCGCCCTCCCCCTTTCCCCATCCACCTGGACCCGGTGTCAAGATAGCCAACGACCGGAGACAGGCTCGGATGCCTGCAAGCCGATTTCACACAATACTCCATGTCGGTAGAAAAAAATGAACCAGAGAATAGATAATCAGGCATCCGAGTGCTAAATAACCGGCCTTGAGAATAACAAATAACCGGTCGCGGAACTTGCGACGGTCATATATCCAGGTGTTAATAGTCACAGATCTGGTAAACATGGCCAGTTCCAGACGCCGGCTTGCGAAGAATCAAGACTTCAGGATAACTCCTATTTTTTGCTTATACAACAGCAGTTTTTGTGACTCTTACGGAAGACGAGATGTGGCGGCACATTTCTCCGAAGGGATGAAACAAGCACTGTTTGAGTGGAAGCCAGTGACTGGCTAGCAGGCGTAAGACTGAAGCGTACTTTAGCATTCTTTGTTGCTTCTGTCTTCGCCCAGACATCAGCTGCCTACCAGCGCGGCAAAACTCGCAGATGCAACTGCTGACAGATTCCACTGCCGTAATCTGTTAAGTATTTCCTATGCCTATACAGGCTAGACAGTTCGATTCATTATCTCCTCGAAAAACGGAGACCGAATGCCGTAGCCCCAAGAACCACTGCCATGTCTAGACGAATTATGTCGAAACAGGATTCCAGCTTGCCTTCTCTTCGGCACTTCAAGGTAGGCAATGACAACAGATAGAGCGCAGAAAAACTGAGTTCGTGAGGTGAAAGACGAAGGGCATGTCCAAACTATCTCAGCCGTCTTTCTTGGATGATCTCGGATACCCTTGAGTTGTCGCAGCGAATGTGGATCATCTCATTTGAGATGAAGTCGGTGTATTTCACTCAAAGAACGGTGCCCAGACATGGGTGGTCAAACAGCTGTACTTTTCCTTTATCTTTCACGCCAACAGCCCAACATTCACAGCAGTTTGGAACTAACGAGACGGATGCGCGGTACGCGCGATCTTCGAGACGATTGAAATGTCGCGTCCGGTTCAAAGACACTTTCCAAGGATTGTGAAAATCCTGCGGCCCGCATCGATTAGGTAAACAACGTCGTTCTTATTTTGTGCATTCGGCAGCAGCCCCGCCCCGAGATATTTGAAACCGTAAACTTCTTTAAATTGACATTCACTAATTCTAAGAGGTAACTTCTCCTACCTATGGACGCATTTCCAAAAAAAGTTTGATATTGTCGGCGTCCAGGTATAAACCGACGCATTTAGATTTGCTTTTTCGTGACACAACATACTATAAAGCACTGAAATTTAAAGCTAGCATGCGATACCGTCAGCCGTCCTATGGGTGCAAACTCAACGACATCGGCTCCGCGAAAGACCCTACGGAAAGCCCTGTCATTTTCGTGGTCGACACGATGCAAATTGTCGAAATCCATACCGAATATCCTACGTTTGATACAAATTGTTATGGACCAGAAGTCGCACAGTGGTTGAGTGGTAATATGCCTTGATCATGGCGACTATTTTTGCCGGGAAGACAAATTGCAGTTTCCGCCACAGAGATTCAGCAGGAACAGAATCGGACGCGGCGCGAATTAAAAAAAAACAGATGGCCGTTAGATGCTGACAGGCATGGCGAAATTCAAGAATGCGCCGCAGTTTGGTCGACAAGTCCATATCTAACTCTAAAACCAGGTTGGATGGGTCTCGCCCTAGAGCCATACACACTGAAACTTCCTGAGCGGGACCATGACCCGTGCGGCAACACGATGAGACTTATGCCACAGTATTTCTCGCGTCTTGTTTTGTCTTCCTTCTTGGAAACAGGCACGGGGATGCTCAAGCCTCAATTATCAGAAACGAACTCATTTCTCCACACTTACTCAATCACCTAATGGAGCCACCGCCTCAGTGCCGATGACTTTAATGTCCACTTTTGTCGGAATGTCATCCTCTTCAGGCGCCTTGTTGTTAAACGGCCTCGGTGTTGCATCGCCTATGTCTTTTTAGGAAGGCGCTCCGCTTCGCAGTGTATAGGCCGAAGGAGCAGAACTCTGTCCAAGAGGAGGGGGATAGCGGCGGATTATGTCCTAGTCCTCGAAGTACTCAGACCAGCGCCCGGTACTAACCGATTTTTCACTAATATATCCGACACACGTTGCGAGCGCAGTCACTCAGTGCGGAGGGCCTACCACTGCGTTTGCTAATAAGTTGAAATAGTTACCGAGTGTCGCTGGTGTTTGAAGCATTCTACATGGAGGTCGTCACTTGCGTTCAATAATTTCTGTAAACGTCTCTACCCATGTTTGCAATCACTTTCCGGTGATGATGATGGAAGAAATCATCAGTGGGATACCTAGCTCAAATTGTAGGGTCCTTGAACTGATCCGGTCATTTTGGTGTCATTTGGTGAACTCGGAAATTCCCCTAACTATGTCGCATACTTAGGTCTTCACCTGCTCCCATTTGCTACTGCTTTTTTCGGCTCAGGTCGTGAAGAAGGACCGGGTTTCTATGAGCAGAGCCTTGGTTATGTAAGATCGTCGTAATTTTGCGACATAAAGCGTCTTGCACGTGACAATTTGGACGAAATTGAGAAATGAATTTACGGGTGTAGGCGAAGGAGAACACTGTCCGACCCATAGGTGTTGCCATTTTCGGTGCTACGCATCGGTCTCTTATCAGAATCTAGCTCCGAAACCCTTAATTATCTTGACTTTAGTCAATCTGGTTGGCCGTAGGATCGTCGTTTGCATACCAGATCAGAAGATGGTTGTAATTATGTAGGTAGCAGATGTTTGTGAGAATCAGCCCGTTCTGTCAGCAAGACCCAACATTCTTCCATCACTATCGCGTGGAGAACTAAGTTCAAAGCATCCAAGACGGCAGGCAATTGAAGGGTCGCCTGGCTCAGTTCGGCTCTCCCAGTCTCGGCGGCAATTAGCAGGGCACGGCAGGAGAGACGTCCGGCCAGTTCTCGCAGCTGAGAGTGGGTGGCCTCTTTATTGTGCTGATCGACAGCTGATAGTTGCCCGAAAACGGAGACGACATAGGTGTTGGTAAATAGCCCCTCTTAGTCGTACGCGTGCTCTCTGAATATTGAGTGGGCCCAACTCAGGCAATGCATAGTTCGCCTATTGCGTGAGGATGCGGTCGCCACACCATATCTACCGGAGGTCGCATGGGCCACTGTGCTACAGGGTCGAGTGGAATTCGACCTCTGAGATCTCGATTTTCAGAGAGCCTGATTCGCGATTTGGGCTCTAAGTAAGCACGAGACATGCAAGTCAGACTGGTGAAAACCTCGAGTCCTCGAGGCACTGTTGCCGCTAGTTTGGGTTTGTTGATTCGTCAGACATGAACCCGCTTAGATTGTTTCTCACTCGCCAAAAGCCGTCCGATATTCGCCGCTCGTCGATGTCCTGCGGCAGTCAGTAGCTAGGTTATCGGGTTAAGCTGTCCTCCCGGTAAAGACCTATAAAGGCCTGATGTGCTTTACTTATGCGCTAGATGCATTTTTTTCGACAAAATTCCGCGCTGGAGTTCAGGCATGACAAAACTTTGCCGATACTGGCCTTGTAGCAATGATATTTGTCTTTTTGGCAGCACATACCGAAGAGGGTTATCCAACTGATTCACAAGTCCACCCTCTCTCATATATTCGGTTTACAATAGAATGTTGCAAAAACTGCGGCTCTGGAACTTAGCCCACTGGTCAGCTCTCGCCCGAATGGAGAAAGGCTGGAGGTTGAAGAATGTGTAGTTTTCCACGATTTTCTGACGATAACAGGGATCAATCCCAGCAGGAAGCTAAACGTTGCATAAAATTTGCGCGTAACATGCTACGTAATCACTGAAAGCATCTTTTGTTCTTGCTGCGAAGTTAAGCTGACAACAAAGAGCGTTTGTGTGGCTATTACCAAAGAATCTCTATTCAACGATTGCGGAACTTATTCTCTAGACATTGTTGGCTAGGGGACGATCGATTCATGTGATGTGTATCTCCGGAGGGAACTGAGGCTTCGAGTAACGAGCCACGTCTCGAAGGTGGAGCTTTAACAGACCGAAAAAACCTGGTGCTAACGGCATAAAAGGCTGCCTATCAGCCAGCGTGTTTACGCTTTCTTTCGAACCAAAAGTGATCGTTAAGCTTAGTCGCCTCTTTGACTGGGCCACCATCTTGATGGCGAACTAAAGAATATGGGCAGACAGGGATATGCTGGGTACGATAGTCTTCGTTACTCGGGGATGAACAGCTAACTAGATAACGGTCGATGCGGCTACTTGTCAAAAGCAGACGATGGAGTTCATGGGTCTACGACGTCACTAAGGAGATGGCCAAACAAACAACGATAAATATGTCAACTTGGTTGCAAGCAGCGGCACCCGGACAAAACTCGACGACATCCGTGTGAGGGAACCATTTAAGATTATTATTATTATTGGGAAGTTTAAAGATGACCTCTTCTGAAATATCAGTATTTGATCCATGCTGACACACATTACGCAACTTCCGATGTATAGACGGTAAGTATAAGCAAAGTAAGAACAGTAAAGAGACAACCTGCCACTGGGTGATAGGCCTGTAGTCCTCATTTAACCACCGAAGAGCATAACATACGGATTCACATGAAACAAGTGTCTTTAGAAAGGTAGTTTTATAGCAGACTACAGCATGGCACTCACCCTCTTCCTCTTGTTTAAGCCACATGGTGGCTGCTCAAAACAAACGTCCACTACAAGGTGTGCTTAGTTCTCAAGGAGACCTGGGACATTTATTAGAAAGGATGTGACGTTACAACGTCAAAATCCTTACAATGTGCCCAGTCGAATAGCAGCGCTTAAAGTTCCGGTCGGATGAATGGCCCCGCGGGTAGCCTAGAAGTAGTCTTAACAAGGCTACTACGGACTCAGCGCATTAAATACGTCAATGTGATATTGGTCAAGTGCCCATCCTCGTTAAACTTCAGTACGGGGAAATGTGGTGATGTTAAGTGCAACATTAAGGCAAGAAATCGTTGACTTTGCAAAATGCTACCAGTGAGCTAATGTGAAATGGCCTAATCATTTTCGCTAGGCATCTTTCCAGGTAGCGTCTCAGCTTCGTTCAAGAAATCACGGGAATGGCTAACAAAGTGTATCGTGCCGTTATTCCTTTTAATGAGTACTCCTGTAAAACTGAGAGACAGTTATGCTTGTGACGTTTCAGCCGCGGTGAACCTTGTAAGCGCGTGCCGTTCAAGCGGAATATTCGTCCTAAACATCACGAACAACGATAAACTCGAAGAGTCTAAACCAAGCAGATTACGTACTTCAAGTCGATTTTATGCAATTCAGGCTTGCAAAATATGACTTTAGATCGTTGGAGGCCCCATTGTTTTGGGATAGAAACAGTTACTATAAAAACTGAAATATTGCAACACAGTAAACATTCACCAGAAAAGCATACGCACACAAGACGCCATAAAATAAACAAAAGCGCACCTCCCAATCTTTGTAATTCTGCCCGTCTTCAAAATCGATTAGGATTGAGACCGAACAGGAAAGATGCGGGAATTCATGTTGTGAAATTGGAGAAAATCTGCTATCGCACATAGCACTGAATTGATGTAAAGAGAATGGTGACTGAAAACCTCGTAATCGCATATTTTCGAAGACCGTTATGAAGATTCATCGCCTTAAATGTCCCTATGCAACCGCGAAGCCTCTGATCTTTGCCATATGTCCAAGTAACAAACAAGGGACTACAAACGTTGAAACAATTAACAGCTCACTATGCATTATTCGGAAACGTAGTTGGATGGGACGGAGGCTCCTGGTTAAATAAGTGCTTGTGAAGGACATCAAAACAGAAAAGGCACATTTCCCGGCGAACGATGGTGAGGGAGGGTCCCTTAACGAGGCTGGGGGAGCTAGTTTCCTTATCTTCGTCCTCGGTCTCAATTCGCTGTTTCTTTGCTCCAAAACGATAGGATGACATGTCGAAGTTATGTTTGGACATCTTATATTAATTGGGTGTTGCTTGGCTTCGCAAACAACTTTCTGGGAACAATCGAGGTTTCCCAACAGACAAGCTTGAGTCGAGCGCCCAAGAACCCTTTGTTTTGAAAAATGACCAGACGGTCGTTTTAGTGTGCGGTTTAGTTCTGTACATAATTTAAAGCTCTGTAGCCCGCAAAACCAATTTTATGCTTAGGTCTCCCTTTATTGTGGCCCTATAAGGGCATTTTCGCATTTCTTAAAAATTACAGTCTAAATGCTGTGAGAGCCGCTGTCTATAAATTCCGCCGCCATTGTGTTCAGATGGCCTTTACGTGAACTTTGTTCTTCGGAGTCATCCGTCTGTCGCAATTTTGAGAGTTTAGCAATCGCTTAATCAATGCAAACATTCCATGTTTTGCGTGTGATAGATTGTGCCCTCATTGGCGGCAATTTATTTCAGCTGGCCGCTGTGTTAAAACTCTGCATGTATCACTTCAGAGTACGTGTGCAAAGAGCACTTCTTAATTCTGTGGCGTAAGTTCGGAGTAGCCTGCCTGGAGACCGATAGGTTTCGGTAACCTCAGTCTCTCAATTCTCGTCTTCGGAAACTTGATATGTAGCAGCAAGTTGACCATGCACATACTTAATCCACAGAAACACAATCTGGTTCCAGTCGGCACCACAATTTTCTTAAATTGTTGCCGATACTTCCGATTTGTGTTCGAAGGCAGGGAATTCAAATACACAAGCGCATTTTTCTCAAGCTTCACTGAAATGAGCTCTGAGCAGTTTGCCTTACATCATGTCGAGTGTATGTTTTTTCCGCTATAACGGCAGCATCGACATTTGCTTTATTAATTACAACTCTGTGTACCACGTTTTGTGCAACAATCAAACTAGCATGAGTACACACTTAATGGCAGAGCAGAATAAGTGCACTGCTTATGATCTAATTATACTCCCGTCAAGGGCACTTCAACGAGCCAGCATCCTTAAGAAAGCATGTCACATAAACTGTGGACATGCGAAAGCAAGTCAAACTGCGGTAATCGGTCGTAAACATCCAATTCATACTAGGGAAGACAAAATCCCGGAGTGAATTTTTTATCAAGTTCTAGTTAACATTAGCTTTACGAAAATAAACCACCGTTATAGGACCAAATCTATTGCAGTTACTTGTTGGGGTTACAATTTAAAGGAGCACGAGAGCCTATTTTTCATACATAACTGGCTGCAATTAGGAGAATGTACGTCTGCAAAAGTTTGAGCAAATGCAGAAAAAACTTTTAACCTACGAAGAAGCTCTTAAATGCATGCAAAACGTGTACATTAAATAATAATGATCGGCATACCGTTAGATGTCCGGAGGGCACTAAAAGTTTTGAGCTAACAGAAGCCAACAAGAACTTACATCAGGGTAGCCCGTAAAGTTACTGCAAACAAAATCCTTGGTTGAATAATTACTAAAAAGTTCATAAACTTTATTCGAATAATATGCAACCGTGAGGCGCCTTCAGAACTGCCGATTGCCTAGCTGAATATGAAGAAAACGCCAACCGACGGTCTATCAGCGGCCTCCTGAAAGTAATGAAGTGGACCGATCATAATCAGGAGTCAGTCTAAAATAAATCTGTCCCACAGTGTCCCCATGAGACTGTTAGCACCTTCTTCTGCCGTATGTCGTCACTAAACATCCGTGAGCTTCGAATTTTCATTCAGATGTGAGTACTTTACTCGGTTCCGGTTAAATCCGATTTATTTCCTATAAACCTATTCACTAGAGATTAATTGTAGTATACCAACATTTATATGTGCAAGGTAGGTCTTCTTTGGGTGTTTCAATTTTGATTTCAAAGTTTGGGCCTCCAAACAATTTATCTTTTCCGAGGATTCGGTGTATGTTTGAATGTGTGCCCCCGTTGGATCAACACGGGGATCACATCAGATTCTGTCAGGCGTTGTCTTACGCAATAACAAATGTCAACAGCTAGGGGGTGCTCTGGCAGACCCTCTTGTCGGCAGCTGTCGCACAAAATGCGACTACTACCGCCCCCCCCCCCCCACAGATTTGTCGGCAAAAATCCTGGTTATAAGTTGTGCAGACCAGGGGGTGTGGTGGAACGCCAAGGTGTGGGCACGGCCGTGCCATTCACCGGTCGCCTCCCTTATCACCTATCACCTGGTTGTCAAGACTAAGAATAACCCTTGCTAGATACCGAACCCTTCTTCTCTATATAAAAGTCTCACTGGACTGATACGTGGATATACCAGTCATCTAGCGAAAGTGTTATAATAATAGAAGTTTTCCTAACTGCATCGTATGTAGACAATCCCACTTGCAGTAAAAAGGCATCAAGAAATTGTAATTAATTTGCAAATAATTCCAACTCCCTACCAAAAGTTTTCATTGTGCGCAGCGTTTGTTCGTCTGCCCGCCGATTTACGATCACGTAAGAGTTTGCCAATTCTAATAATGGTAGAATTAAGCTTAAACTTCCTAGGTATCAAGGCAAATTAGGTTAGTAACTTTTAAGTAAGCCCTCCATAGAAAAGGCGAAACAACTACAAGCATGACCGTGCAGCAGACGGTAACTCGGCAGATACAATTTCAAGTCGTGCTGTGGCGTCCGGTATTGGGGGATCAGTCGAGTTCTTGATATTTTGAACTGTTTTATGAGCCGGGTTTCGCTCCAGATATATTTGCCTCCAATGCAGCAAACGTTACGTTTGCTCATTTCACGAGTTTCAAGCCCAGTGTGATTTGGAATAAAATAGCCCGAGATTGAGAATAATTAAGTTTATTGGCGAAAAAATAAATGGACGAAATAAAATGATGAACTTGAGGAGAAAGCAGGCTTGTCTGAATTTCGAAGTCATGGGACGTCCAACAGCTACTATGACGACGCGGTTTCTAAAACAGTAAATCCCCACGAATGGAAGAGAATATGCGATCCCAGGTTCTTGTTTAAAAGAAGACGAAGGCACGATCACTGGGACAGTAGATTTATTTGCCTGAGCTTTCTAACTCGATCTGGAGTTCATCATCAGAGACTGTTTGAGTGCAGCAACTTGTGAAAATTTATATGGCTGTTGCTTGCGGGGAGGGGGGGGGGGCAGTACGCCCGTGGCTAGGTAAGGTTTGTGCCGCCTGGTCCACGATGTTCCCCCGGCGTGGTGACGCAGTTTGTACATCGCGACGGTGTGAACTGCGCCACCTGGCTGCGTGGGCGGAGCGCATGATAACACGCAGGCAAATCGATGTGCCTGTTGATGGAGTTGGTGTCCGACACCCACGCCTCCAACAGTTCTCGCGCTGTCTTGTTGCCGGCTCGCGCCAATATCCGCGTGTTGGCGAAGTCGAACTCATGGCCTTCCTCCAGCGTGTGAGTGTCGACTTAAGATAATGGCAAATAAATCTGTCCCAGTGATCGTGCCTTCGTCTTCTTTTAAACAGTAAATTCCGTTTAGAATTTTACGTGGCCTAAAACAAAGGGAAAAGGGACCCGACCCTGCCTTTGGTTGTTGCGCAATGCAGCATTTAACTTAAGAACCTATACGTTAACCTGTCGCACTCCTTCAGCAGGTTAGCAACCATTTCTGTGGGCTTCCATATAAAACTTATGAGTGAGTACTGGTTGATAAAATCAAAAATTTCGCATTTTATTCATGACATTTCATTAAAATTTACGCAGGTTCGCACGTGTAAGCTTCCACGAAAGATGATTCCCCCTAGTTAATTTAACTTTGCGCGCAGACAGTAATACGAGTTATCTTATTTTATAAGAAATCAGGACGTTTTCCAGAATAAATAATTGCTCTTTACTGTTCTGGGTCCTCTTTGCTTTGAATACTTGCATATGACTGCTAATTATTGTTTACGATCATTTATTGCGCTGCTTTCTCAACAGTCGCTGATCTCCGCACCTTTTTGACGATTCTGGATATATGTATCAGGGACCTACGCTTTTCAAATATCATCAGTCGACCGAATAGTCAGTCGGCCCACCTGGGGCTACGAACCTAACTTGTCATCCGGCGGGCAGGTTGAAACTAGAAGCGTTCTTTTTAAATAAATCAGAAAAGCTGGCCAATGATACTACAGCAGACGTTTGTAGAAGATAGAAAGCGGCTGGAATCCGGGGTTCGTCTCTCTTCATATTCTATTTCCTCCAGTTCATTGACCCTCAGGTTTTTCGCAGAAGAAACCAGGCTACAGGAAGCCTTGTTGACCGTATTGGTCTAGAGTATACTCTTGAGGTATTTAAAACTGTGAAACTTATGTCCCAAGGGCCATCAAGGGTGCGTTAACTGCCTCCAATGGAGTCAAGACGGCAGTATTTTAGCAAGCGGCTCTGACGACTGCTGCGTAATACTATGGGATCCGCACA